TGCTGTTGCTACAACTGTAGAAATTTTACGTTACCATGGCAACACGGAAAAAGTATTATGTTTCTTTTACTAAACTCTGAGCATGGAAACGGTTTCTTCTGCATCAGTTCAAGTGGCTGATGACAGATTAAAGCGCATCAGTGTGGAAATTGCAGTTGTTAGACTTCATCCTACAAAAATGTGATTTCTTTGGAGAACAGGTTCATATAACACGTGGCTTACGAGTGTAATACATCGATTACTACTCGCGGAGGACATTCATGCACCGAGTCGAAATCGATGTTCCATAAAAATGAAAGAAACCGCTGATGAAACTTCAGACAGTTGTCGTTAGTCCGTCGTTTTGAGATGGACGCTTTCTCTACGAAGACATGAGACTCGTCTGCTTTGACGCATTTAAGCTGATTAAACTTCAGTTAGCGGCGCCTTCTGAATGTGACAGGAAATGTGATGTGATTTTAGGCCGTTCACAACACAATGAGAGCATGAAGCATGTGCTACTGTGAGAACAAGCGACGTTGGTCACAGCGATTACCTTTCTCCAGTCTACGATTGGGGATTGTTACGCAATTTGCTGTTTTTGCTGTTTCGAGTAACACGGATCTACGCTACATAACGCTTAAAAAACGAATGGTAGGAGAATCCGGAGAAAATCAGAAAATTTTCTCCGGAATATTTTTGTATAACTGATTACGGAATGGCTGTCTTTATCTTGTATACCAAAGAAAAACGTGATTGAAGATGGCTGTCTTATAGGGTTGTTGCGCCGTGTAGTCTGGTGATCGATCACCTTCGTTGATGGAGGCAGCAAGGACCTCTGAAACGTCGGCAAACTTCTACGAGACTACACGGCTCAAGAACCCAGAAGTCATCCATATTCGTATTCACTGCTTAGTCACTTCGATCGCTATATGCTAAGAAATCTAGTGAATTATCGTGTTTTTAACCCCCATTCTAACATTAGCATTTGCTGTCAGAGACGTCGGTAGTGTATGAGGAGGGGTCGAAGCGTAACGGAGCATTCAGTAAAAGTTGCGTCAGAGGAAATTTGGGAAGTTAGAGGTGTGGTCTCTCACCCCACTTCTTACTTGTATCATTTTCGTTGCCCAAATGTTCCGTAAATTTCATATGTTGCACTTCAAATATTAAAAATTGTTTAGTTTAATGACATCGAAGTTTCGTTTAACAGTTTTTAACGACTTTATGTTCCGTAAATTTCATATGTTGCACTTAAAATATTACAAATTGTGTAGTTTAATGACATCGAAATTTCGTTTAACAGTTTTTAACGACTTTTAAAATATTTGGTTTCAGAATGAATAGAGGTTCCTGAGAAAGAAAAGGCAAAGCCACCAATCACTACGGGTTTGTCGAAATACCGTTTTCATATATCTAAAACACGTTAACAGTTAGTCGGCTATAACAGACTGACGATCACATGTCTTACTGTTACCACATTGTTTCTCAAACGGGGTAGTGTTTGGAAATTCAGTAAAACTACCGTACTGTCATTTTAAAATGCAGATTATTTTTCTGGCGATTTCAACAACTCCCGTTTCCATAGACTTCTTTAATCTCGATGTCTAGTGCCTTTACTTACCATCCTCGCCAGCCGGTAGATATCTTCTTATCAGCACAACTGCCTCGTGCAGCAAGTCTTCCCTCGTCACGTCCAGTGGTAGAGTAATCAGCGTCCCTACGGCGCCCCCGGACTGCGCTGCCATCATCTCCCGTTCCTTGAGTTTGGCCCTCAGAATCCTCGCAGCCACTGACCCGTTCTCGGTGACAGCCCCTTCATCATCTCTGTATGTTGCTTCGGGGTTCTTCAGGCCCGCAAACACTCTGAACCCGAGGTTACTGAGATGGAGCGCACACTGAAGCCCGAATGCTGTGTCACAAGATGTGATAAGGACAGCGCGTCCCATGCCGACATCGAGGGTCACTTCTGGGTCATCTTGATCATGACCGGTGCCCACAGTATAACGGTTTCGAATCCTACAGAGGAGATACATGAGAAGAGCAGTTGCAATGCAGCATAACGCGATGAGCTGCAGTGCTAGAATTAACGCTGTTTGGTCGTCCATCGTTTTATTAGCCAATCGTTTTGAAGGGGTTGGGAAATATTACTTTTATGGTCCTTTTGTTGCCCTTACGTTCTCGTGATTACGGTAATGGTGTAATTGTGTAAGTGGGGGAAGCAGTGAACAAGGCGGTGAGAATTATAAAGGGTAAAAGTGGTTTTAAACCCTTACAAGATTGCCAGCCACTTCCCTATTATATTTTCGTGTCTCCTCAGTATTAACGTGTGAAAATGTCAGTACCCCGCGTTAGAAGTCTTCGAACTAGAAATTTCCTGCAAATGTTTGAATGTGATTAATTTGATATTTTAAATTACAGGATTGTTTTGTTAAAAATTTATGTGCATGATTTAGAGTTGATGTGTGTAGATGATGTGTTACGAGTTACATTTCATTCATTCATAACACGTCATGTTTTAATGCTAAGTCACTATTTATAGAATGCAGCCTCATCAGAATCCCGTATCCTGCTCAAACACTTCACACGTTTGTACTCCGTACTTGTCATTAATGTTACTGCGAACGGATTGAATGTTGAAAAAACACCGCTGGCTCTGTTATTTAGTTGTTGGTGTGTGCACACGACTGTCAGGTGTATAATCACATCACACCTCACCCAACTCGATGTTTGTATATCCAATATCGCCTGCCACATGCATAAAGTATATTTTAACACGTTCAATATCACACTGGAAAACAAACACTTGTGCGAAAAGTTTTCGGTCCGTTTTGCGGCGCCGTCTTGTAGGAATGCTGCAATATATTTTTAATTGTATACTCCAGTACTTGCTGCTGCCCAAGGACACCGTGTCTTGATAATTATCGTTTAGATTTTTCACTACGGATTTAGTATGAGTAGAACTGAAAATCTCTTTTCTGTAATGGCAAACTTTCTAACACGTTTTATCACCTCATTCTATCTCGTCTCCTCCGTGCAGAGTCTACCCTGCTGCTGTCTGTTGTGTTATCTTCTGGTATTCGAACCATTCGGCTTGACCGACTTTCCTCGGCCAGGCGATGCAGTGGTGGTCACTTGGGGAAGTGATCTATTGGTGAAATGGCGAATCTGTGCATCCGCCTAGCGATAAACATGGACAATCCGATATCACTGTGTTGAAATATAGATATTATTATCCACACGTTATGTTAGAATTAGTGTTCTTGCACTTTTGAATCCTGCGAAACAGTTTAATTTCACATTTCAAACACTTAAAATGTAATATTTGATTTGATTGAAACTAATAACTGAAGACGAACAGGTCATGTCACGATCACAAAGACTACGATTCTGACAATTCTTCTGTTTTCTTCGTCTTCGACTTCCCCGAACCGAGAAACAACTCACACACGATACATCATCTGTGGAATGCATGAAGTAAGTTGCGATTCTCTGTATGTTGCTGTGTCGCCTTACCTTTCCTCTCGTCTTTCTCTGTTCAAGGTTACATTCTTACGTGTTCAGTTCGTTCATTTTGTGAGATCCCCTGCCTGCTGCTATTTCTTGTGGTTGTTGCGTCGGAGAAGTACAGGGACTTTGGCAGTTGAAGCGTTGGAACAGACAGAGGTGACCGCTGCGCATGACATGGCATCTCATTCGGAGGAGTGGCTTTTCTCTCCCTCTCTGACACAAGTTTCTCATAATTGGTCTCTCTCTACCTGTAGAAAGATCCTCCCAGATGATATCACCTCGTGTATGTTCTTGAATATTAAACATACCCATATTGCATGTTATGGAGTTTCTTTTCAGATGGTTCGTCTGTCGAATCCCCTACATCACGACGAGATTTGATCGTATATTCTTAAGTATTAGGTGTATTAATTATGGCAAGAGAAAACTCTGCAAACTGAGATTTTAAGTTCTCGCAGCAGCCAATATGAACATGACTTTTCTGGAGTATTGAGCCGTGTAGTCTCCTAGAAATTAGACATTTCGGAGGCGCTCACTGCCTCTGCTATCAGGCAGGTGGGAGCAGTAAGGACCTCTAAAACGTCAGCCAGTTTGTAGGAGACAACACAGCTCAACATCCCAGAAGGCAGACATCTTCATTAAAATATGCTTTGGAGCTTACTGTTACTTTCAATCTTTATGAAATCGGTCCACTATCCGGGCATCGTTTCAGAATGTTATGATGAAATATCAGTAGTCTGTCTTTGATGAAAATGAACCACAACCCAAGTGATACAAGGCGTCGTTTCAGAGACATGTAATGCAGATTGTCCCAAAAATATGTACACACAGTACGGTGGCCGCTTGTCATTCCGTTGTTCGCCGCTGTCAGCTTTGCTACGAAGCTAATGGTGGTCATTTTGAACTCCTACACTACATTTGCTAATTCACTAAGTGCCTTTGTTAACGTGTGTAATGGTTTAATTTATTAAAATGTAGTATTTATTTCATTCGTTGAATGTGTGTATACATATTTTTGGGACACTCTATATGTTATTCCCTCAAAATAAGGGACCACATTTCACATCCATACAGAACAACTGGTAGACTTTGTTTTGTGGGCATATGTCCTTATGTTTGACGTCTTTGAAAGTAGACGAGCACGCGGGTGCTAAACGAACTATGAAAGGGCTCTGGCAGCCTGTGACGTAATAAGAGAAGTGAATCGAGTTTACAAATAGACCACGAATGTTTGTTATTATTCTTGAGTTCCGATGCGGTCTGTCGAACTGTTGAGACCACTGCTTACAATTTGGTCGCTTGCCTGGATACCAAGACGCTTAAAGTAATGGAGTTCATAGCATCGCCCAAGGATCCAGGTACTGTTAGTTCGTTCACCTTACATGCATACTACTCTTTCCTGGAAAGTCCACAACTACGTACCCACACCCTTCTGGGATGGAGGCAGTGCTGCATTGGAGACCCAGTGTTAAATTATTTTGGACCAGGCTATCACTTAGTGATAGCTTGACACATTAAACGGTTGCCAAGCAACGGAACAACGGTGTTTATAAATCATCTGTCTGGAAGGTTTCTGTTGTTTTTCATAGAAGTGTTGTTCACTATCAGTGTTTTGTAGAAGTACATGTTGATGTTTTGAAAACTTTGTCACGTATATGATGACATCTGTTTCTGTGTTTGGATCGTGCCACGCTGAATTGCAGTTTTCAGGAAGGCAAAACGCTGAGCGATGGAATGTATCCAATTTGTCGAATGTGGTGACAAGCTGTTGCACGCGGTTCACGCTGTTTTATCAGCGTACTTTCCATATTTTATTAATAAGGAAAAATATGTTTATGTACGTCCATATTCTTGTACCTCATAATAACTTAAAACAATTAACGATTCAGTATTGCTATTTTTTCCGGACTTCCTTCGTCCATCTTTTAATATGCTGAAACAGGACCACTACGTTACTGCTCTCGTCTTAGGCGAAAATATCTGTGCTGGTGGATTCAATAGAAGGGGCTAATTTCAATACCAAAATTCCGTGTTAGCTCTCCATGAACGCTCACAGCGAGCGTGTATCTCAACTAGCTGGCAAATGTTTGGCTGGTTGGAGCTGGCTAACGATGTATTTTGTCTGATCGGTTCTTCTGTGTTGCTGGAGTATCACTGAACCGCGAAAATAAGACACACGCCTTCTCATTTATAGTTTTTGAAAGTATTGGCCGGGATAACACAGTTGACATGCTTGTATCAGTGCATTGAGTTTGCTTCTTTAGTGTCTTATTCTTGTAGTTGTAGACCGCAGTTTTTACCCTACTGTAACTTGTGGTCCATCTAGCAGTGAACTTATTGAAATCTGTTTTTTGTAACCTCGAAAACGTACTAAGTAGTCGATCATTCGAAGTGAATATTTCGATAGGTGACTTCTTTCGCGGATTGTATGCAGGCCTGCAACACGTTTCGACCTCCATCGCCACACCTCTTCAGTTGGTGAGCAGGAACACAGCAGGTGTTTTTCTTCTTCTTCTTCTTCTTCTGAAACGCTATTTGGAACACTGGTCACGTCTTCCGCAACCAACCCTGGTTGTTTCTGATCTCTGGCCACTTACATAACATTCTTTGTTTCTTGAAGTTGTC